CTTTTATTTTATAATTCTCTTTACAATGCTTGAAATTTCTTCTGAATTTTCGCATTTATTCATCCAAGGTAAATTGATCGCTAAGAGGTACAATTTAATTTTGATAAGAATCTAATTCTTTCAAATCCCTTTATTCGTTACTAAACTTCTTTTACAGCTTTATTTTGAAAAGAACAACGTTTTTTTTACAGATCATCATTGACCAGAAGGAGTTCAAAGACTACGAGCATCGCCTTCCTCTCACTACCATCACTCATCTTTCAATTGATGGAGATCTTTACCTCAATCATGTCCACTGGGGTGGAAAGTACTATGTAAGCACTATCGTTCTCCTTTTTTTTAGGTTTTGGTTCTATTTTTTGCCTTTTGGGCTTTGAATCACTGACGATAATCATCTTTAAGTTACATATTTTTGTTAGTTTAGACCTTACCCTGTCGGTCTTGAAGTGGTTGCATATTTGACTATGTGTTTGCGTAACCCTATCTTCGACATATATTTTAAGTATTTGCTTAACTCTACGTGTTCTCGTACATTCCGTTGGAATGCGGTTGTAAAAATCGAATCACTCGTTTTGGTCAAACAAAAACTGGCGCCAAGTGGAGTCAGTGATATGGGGCATGCAAGGTGTTTGCATAGCGAAAATAGCTCACATGAAGGTTTCCAGGGTAGAAAGTTGGATTCTAAGGTTCTGAGAGTCTTAATTTCGCCTAAAAGGGTTAAAATCGATACTTGAGGCTTTGAATGACGCTAATGCACTTGCTGAAGATATATTCGAGGCCTTGATTGATTGCAGCGAGTATGATATTAGGAACTCTAGGAAGGTTCTAAAAGTAATCTCACTAAGAACCTTAATTGCTTCTTTGCATTAAGATTTTGACGCCTAATGTCAAAATATGTTTTCATCAGGTTTAGGCCAAATAAGAGATGTAATCGGGCATCTTTAGCATTCCATCCCATCTTAACAAAATTGATGATAAAAAGGCTCATATTTGGAAATCACATTATTTATACTTTGTTGGACCCCTTTTTCTTTTTTTTCAAAAAAATCCATAAAAACCATCCTTTTTTCAGCCAGTCCCCTACGAAAGCGGAATCGCTCAAGGTTTCAACGTTGACAAGACTCTGCTCATCTTCGGTACTGTAGAGAAGAAGGCGAAACGTTTCAATGTCAATCTGCTCAGGCGAAATGGCGATATTGCACTTCATTTCAATCCACGATTTGATGAGAAGGTGAGGACATTAGAAAAACTTTTTATAGGAAATTATCAACCTG